GCTCTAATTCAAGGCAGAAGACAAAGTCTCTAACATAGCTCACAAAATCTTCCACAATCATCCCCTGGCTCTTTTTCTCATCTCGTTCCCCTGACGCTTACTCTAGTCACTCTGGCCTCCTGGCTTTTCCTTGATTCTCCCTTCAATCAAGCACACTCTTGACTCGCTGTTGCCTGGGGCTCCCTAATGTGTATGGCTTATTGCTCCACTTCCTGGCAGTATATACACTATGATTACTGCTTCAACCCAATCTGAACGCTTTCCCAAGTATCCCTTTCCTCTACAGCAGTAGACTCTGCCTGGGTGTCCAAAGAAGGAAATGCAATTCTTTCCCCCATAGAGCTTATAATCTCATGAACAGTCTACTTTCTCACATGATAAAGTCCAAGTTATGAATATAAATGACAATAAAATAGAGTACATAAATCCTAGTTACTTGAGCAGTCATGACTGAAGGTTATTCAAACTACACTAATTCCGAGAAGTGTTATGCCAGAACTTAGAGAGACGAAATTCAGGGAGGAAAGTACGTTTCAAAAGTAAGCAAAGAACCACATTGCCTGTAAAAGGAAATTACCAATATATGAATATAACAGCATCAATTACCGCGAGTCTATAAGGTACAATTCCATGGATTTGGCTTTTGGCCTATTCATTCCTAAGTTATCTGTTTTACTCTAAGCTTCCTTTGAAATGTACTGTGCTCCAAACTCAAATGCTTCTAAGCTTTTAACAGTAAGGTCCAGTCACTTCAGAAATGTGTTTCAACTCATCCTCAGGTCTCAACTAGTACATTATTCATCTGAAGACTTTGCCCAGGTGCTTAATCTGAAATATCAGTCTGCCTTGTTAGTCTTTGTCCTGCTTTTTCTTCCATGGCTCTTGCCCCATAATTTATAGTCATAAATTTATTCGTGACTATTATTTGTCTTTTCTCACTAGATTATTAACTATCTGGAGACAGGGTGTTTGTATTGGTTTTTTTTCATCACTGTACATGGATTGCTGAATCTAGTACCTGACATTTAATACAGATTTGCTGAAATGAAATGAAATAACACATAATTCAGGGAAGTCTAGAAATCCACATGAAACTAATCTCAAATAGACTTTTAATTTCAAATGGAAAGTTTATGTGCTTCTAACTTCTGAGACATGGAAATGTGTATAAAGCTATGAACTTAATGTACATACATTGGAATATTTTGATATTGACTTCTGAAATTAATTTCAATTGGGGTCAAATATTACACTTTTCCCCATAAACCTAACTTTTTCTGAGAATCTTTAAATTCCTCAAGGTAAGAAACCTGGCCCTGCAGAGTGGGGCGCCCTCAGCCTACAAATGGACTTTGGAACAAATTAGACGACACCATGTCCTCGGGAGTTCTGGTGGTGTAGTGGTTAAGCATTGGGCGGCAAACTCAGCCATCTAAAACAAGCAGTTGCTTCTCTGGAAAAATATTAGGCTTATCTACTCCTAAAAGGTTTCAAGTTTCAGAAACGTAGAGGGGCAGTTCTACTCTGTCCTACAGAGTCAGAGTTGACTTAAGAGCAGTGACTAGGTCCTCTATGAACACAGCCATCCACCAACTCCCATTGCTCAGTGAATGGAGCCTGAGCAGGGAGGGTTATGGCTCCCACTAGCCACCTCAGTCAAGTGTGCTGGTACATAAGACATGGCCTATATGTGAGCAACAGTCCTGGAGTTACTCAGGGGTGGTGTGGGCTGGAGATGGTACACTGGTTACCCTTGTGGAACTCCATTCTTTGCTGAAAAGGACCCAATTACTTTGTCTGGATGAGCTTAGTTGGCTATGGCTTCCTTCTTCTCACCACATCTGGTGGTTTCGCTGAAGACGACCTCCCAGATGCAAGAAGGTCATTTTTTATATTCAGGTAAATGGGTGGTTACACAATCCCTACCGGAGCCTCTAAGGGAGCCTCTCTCAAGGTTTAATCCCAGGAAATAACCCATGGTGCATTCTTGATTCCTAAGAATTCATGCTGTTAATCTGGATGTATATGAGGTCATCAATTTTCAAACCGACAGCACACAGGCCTAACACAATTTAATGACTACTTGGGAATCATGACAGTGGCAATAAACATGGTCTCAACTCTTTCTTAAGTGACTCCAGTTGTTGAATTTCATGACTTCCAGTAGATGAGATCAAGTCTGAAGGCCATGTAGCAAAATTAACAGCACCCACTATTTCTCATTTCAGAAATCTTGTAGAACTCTATCTTGAAACTTAGGGTTGTAGGCTAAGAGTTGTACACCTTTCCTTTAATCCCAACTGATTTAATTTACCTTTAAGTACCATGAGTCTTACAGTACAAAACTCAAGGAGAGCCTGTTCCAACACCATTAACAGGAGCTCACCATTTACGAGTGAAAGCCCAAACCACTGAAAGGTAATTGTTAAGGGGATTTTTATTTTGGAAAAAGAATATAAAGCTTGCAGTTGGGAATAAAACCTTACATATTGGAAAGCACCTTGGTTTGCGGTTTTAAAACTCCCCAATTAAATGAGCTTGTGCACATGATTTAACTAGAGTGCGACCCATCTCCAGATCTATCAGTGAGTTTAAAGTCATCAAATCCTGGCAGTTCTAAGAGTAATTGTATATCGAAATACCTCAAAGAAAGAACGTCAGAGAAAACCGCCAGTGGGATCTATAGTGGCATTTGCGATCACGTGTGTATAGACGTCATGTGTACATCGGAACCCGTGGGAAAAATGCTCAGTGTGTCGTCATCAGGACCCTGGTGGCCAGTTCAGGAGTCGGCCCCCATTGCCTTAACAGAGCCTATTCCGTTATTGTAATCTGTTGTATCTATGGAGAAAAGCCTACCTCTGCTAGTTCCTCAGGGCATCGGAAGTGGCAAGGACGAAACCAAAACCACAAATCAGCAATCAAAAAAACACACAAAAAAACCCGAGAACGGTGGACCTCAAGTTGATTTGGAAGCATCCCCAAATCTTTGCATACTGAAAATCTTTACTCAAACATATAGCCCCATCTGTCGCCACTAGGCGGCTGGTGGGTTTGGAAGGCGGACCTAGCGGTTAATAGTCCAATGTTCCAATTCTTATCCAACAGCGCCACCGCGGCTCCTGGCCAAAGGACCACTCGAACCGGTTGAACAGGCCACTCACCTCCGCCATTACAAATTTTCTCTTAAGCTTGGAGAAATCTACGTCCCAAAGTGAAGCAGATCCAAATATGGCGAATATCCTTCCACCATCAAAATTAGACAGCTCCCTAGTTCCTTGAATCTACCAGGAAATCGGTTCCATTGTTCAAAATTTACGCGCGCGCGCACATGTGCACGCGGACTCATGGCGCGCAACCTCGGGCGCGGTTCTTTAGGCCAACTTGCAGGGATCGCGAAAACGTTGAATCACCATTCTTGAAAATGTACCAATCCCTTTAGAAACACTTTCTTTACTGGTCTAGTTTGGGGGCAAGTTAATGTATTTATGTACACGGAAACGTGTACGCCATTCCGTTCCTGAACGGACGCAGACCGACCGCCATGTATTCTCCAGAACAAACACCGCGGGGTTTTCCGTCTCTGGAAATCGCGCCCAAGGATTTCCATTTCCTTCTCCACGCTCAAAAGGAACAAGGATTCCATGGCTGTCTTCTTCTCTCCACCAACCAGCGGCTGAGGAAGCCGTGGTCTGGGGTTGGCGCCAACGGGCACTGGCTCACTTCTGGACACGCGCGTCTTCCGAAGGGGAACCCTTGGCGAACATCGGTTCGGGCGCCATCGCTCGGTTCCGCGAGGCCGTGGCCTTCATCGAAGATGGGTCCTTCTTGGAAGCGTCTTCAATGCTTTCCATTTAGAGACCCCGAGCATCTGGGATCTCCCACCGCCTCCAAGGCCGACCCAGGTGAAGACCTTCGCAAGCCCAGGCTTCTTTGTGAAAAACCTAGTGAGGAACCATGGGCGTCCATGCAGGCAACACGACAGAAAGTGACCCCAAGCTCCCTTGGCCGAATTCCTAAATCCTCTCAGTGGCCAAATCCAGGCTCTCTGGGGCGAAATCCAAAGAGGGGGCTTCCCTTCTCACCCCTCGTGGTCCACTCTTCGTATTCACGTTCTCTTGGAGGACAGCTTGGCCCCCTTTCAGCTCCTGGCAGTGAGCAGGGGCTGCGGGCAGAAGGAGGGAGCCGGCCGGCGGACGCCCCCACCCGGGCGCTCTGGAGAGGTGGGCACATTCCACACGCTCTATAGGCAGGCGCTGCGGCCGCCTTCTCCGGCCGCCCTGGGGCCCGCCCCCTCCGCCTCCCGCCACCCCGCCCCTCCCTCCCTTCCTCTGGCCTCCCGGAGGCCGCAGGGCCCGGGGGGCGCGCTCGCGCCAGCCCCGCCCCTTCTCTCCCCTTCCCTCCCCCCTCCCTCCCTCGGGGCGGGGACGCCAGGAGAAGCTGTGACGTCAAGGGGCGCGCGGTGGCAGCACCTCCCCGCGCGCTAGTTAAAAAGAAGAAGAAAAGAGGGAGCGAAACATGAGAGGCCGTGCGAGGAGCTGCAGTCGCCGGCAGAGGAGACCTCAGCATCATCTAGAGCCCCGCGCTGCCCCTGCCTCCGCCTGCCCCGCCGCAGCCGCCGCTGCGCCGGGTCCTGCTACTGTCTCCCCCCAAACAACTCCCGTTACACGGACAAGTGAACTTCTTCTCTTCTCTTTCTTCCCTCTGCGCTTCCAACTCCTTTTCCCTCTCTCATTTCCCAGCCGCAGCCCACAGCCCCTGACCCCACTGACACTTGGCACTCCCGCAGGCGGTGCCATCTGCACAACTTTCCCTTGCTCTTCGGGCTCCCTTAGGCATTGGACCCATCGCTTTGGGGCAAAGTTGCATCTCTCGAGATAGTTTCTCCCCCAGCCACCTCCCTCTGTCTTCCAAGTGCCCCCGCTGCCCCGCAGCCTGCTCCCGGAGCTGCGCCCTAGTGCCCCTGCTGGGCAGTGGCCTTCCTCCTCCTCCTCCTCCTCCTCCTCCTCGTGCGCCCGCCGCTCGGGGCAGAAGATGCTGAAGATGCTCTCCTTCAAGCTGCTGCTGCTGACCCTGGCCCTGAGCTTTTTCGAAGGAGATGCTAAGTTTGGGGAAAGAAGCGAAGGGAGCGGAGCGAGAAGGAGAAGGTGCTTGAACGGGAACCCCCCGAAGCGCCTGAAAAGGAGAGACAGGCGGATGATGCCCCAACTGGATCTGCTGAATGGGGAAGAGATGCTGTGTGGCGGCTTCTATCCCCGGCTGTCCTGCTGCTTGCGGAGTGACAGCCAGGGGCTGGAGCACATGGATCACAAGGTAAGCTCCTGCCGGCCTCACGGCTGTCTGTGAGCCACACTGAGGCTCCTGGGACTCCGCTAGCAAGGCTGGGAGTTGTAAAAATGGTAAAACTTTCGGGGGGGGGGGCTATTTCTGATAACTGTTGTACACGCTCCTGCGATTCCTGTGTGTGTTCCTCTGGGGGTGCATAGATAACTCGCCCGCCCCCCGAAGTCTGAGGTCGGGATGCTGTGCAAATCGCCTGTCTCAGAAAAGACTCGCTTCTTGTGGTACCCGCGTCCCTGGGGCGGTGGAAATGTTTGAAAAGAATTGCCATTAACCAGAGGGTTTGGGATCGAATCCGGCATTGGCTGCGGCGAAACTGTAAATTAGGCGGCTGTGGTTTCCGGTTTGTTTTTCTAGGGTAAAAAGGTTTGTGCCGTTTTCTCCACGTGTTCGGTTAGGGAGAGGATTGAATAGTAAAGATGTTGAAGCCAGCTGGTTTACGATCCCTAGACCCATCAGCAGGGTATTACCACCGTGAAACCGGCGAAAAGGAACTCCTGATTGTCCCATTAAAGAACCCGAAAAACGCGAAAAAAATTGCTGGGGTTATTGATCACATAAAACGGAGACAATTCTCCGTCGTTTTGTAAGATTCTAAAGTTGGGCTCACGATGGGGCTGAGTCGTCCAAGAGGCTGGTTTCGGAAATTAATTGACACTTTGATTTCCCTTGTGCCAGTAGGTTTACAACAAATACGAGAAAAGAGTTGTTGAAGTATAAAGGCAGGCTTTATTTTTGAGTTTGCAACATCTTTCTGGCCATGAGATGCAGTTATGCGTGCTATCTACTGTACTCCAAGAAAAGAACGCAGGACCACGTCATTAACAATCACTGCACGTGAAATAAACAATCAGGTGTCTTTGCCCCCCCCCCCTTTCCCCATTTTAGGTTTAATTAAGAATTCCTCTGTTACAACGCTGCAGTTGTCAAGGGCTGAGAGACTCTTGGAAAACTTGTGCTTCAGTCATGCTGGCCCAGGCATTAAAGAAAAAAAATGCCCAGGCTGAATCTAATTTTTATGCTCAGTTCACGGTAGATTTCACTCTATTCTCATGTAAACAGCTCCTACGAATCAACATATGTGTCTGGGTGGTATCTCTCACTTTGTTTTGTAACAAAAAGCCATATTGCATCATTTAATTTGCTCAAGTCATGCAAATAGGAAAAAATCAATAGGACAAAAAGGGGTCGACTTATCCTTCTCCCCAGTAAACTGCTGCCCACACACAGAGTCCTGTTGCTTATGGCAAAAGAATAACAACAACACCATTGTGTTTGTTAGTTGGTTCACTAATGGGTGAAACTAGAGAACATCATTCTCTTTCAGTCCACAGCTCTGTCCAAATGTTCATGCCTTTTGAGGCAGCATTTGTCCAGCTCCCTCTATTCCCAGATGAGTGAGAACTGTCTTGCTGCAGGTTTTCAACTCCAACTCTCTCTTTATTCTTACCATATGCAGCAGTCGTTTGAGATTCAGGGAACAGATATTCCAGCATTTCATTCAAAACAATGTCATTAAGCTCCTGTGTTGTAATTGAATTAAGTGACAAAATAGCTACATTCACAGGATCTGAAGGGGCTTTACCAGGATCCCAGAAAAACCAGGAAATTCAGAGAAAGGTTTAGAAAGAGCTCCCCTCTGTGTGGTAGACACTGAGTGGACCAGGATCTGGAGACCCCTGAGAGACCGGACTCTTCCAGGAACATGAGGAATGAAAACGTGGTTCTTTAACTAGATTTACAGGGGAGCTGGGCGGATGGTACTCAAAGGGTTAGAGCATATTTATGTATATAATTTTTTTTAAAAAAGGAATCATTCTTTAGGAAGCAATTTGTTACATTAGCTATCCACATTCCTTTTCCACTGTGCATGAGTTCAGTCTCCAACAAACTGCTGCTCATTTGGAAAATGTGTCCAGATTAAAATCGGTGCATTTGATTTTACTGGTTCCATTACAAATGGTTTATAAACCAACAATATTCAAATTGTTCAAAACCCAGATTTGGTGTGATCCCGCCTATGCATTTTTGACCTGTGTTAATTCTCAGGTTTTAATAGCTTTTAAAGCATGTTATTTAATAAGAAACCCTAGAATTTCTTCTCCCACCCCCTTACCCCCACCTCAAGCCTTCCTGGCTCATAACGTGTGCTAAGGTATTATTTCATAATGTGCTCGTAGGGAAGATGAGGGCTATTTGAAAAGGTCCATTTTTGTTTATGGAAAAAAAAAAAAAACTTTTCCCCAGAAAGAATTCTGCAGCTTTTCAAGAAACTACAGTAGTAGCTTTTTCCTCAGGAAAGAAACTTCATAGTCAAAACCACAGATAGTAGCAAACTAGGTCGGAGTATCAACTGTGCAGTTAAACCCAGTTTCTAGATGAACACATTTTCTTTAATGAGATAGCATGAAGTTCAGTTCTGTAGTCAGAGTACTACATCTTTCATATTTTATGTTTTATATATTTTAATAATTTCATGTCCTGGGGTGATAAGCAATGCCCTGAAAACTAAGTACTGCCAAAAATTGGGGAAAGTGTACTGTTTTAGCAATATTTTCACAGCTCCTATTTATAACGTATTAAAAGGTTCTTCTTCCCATTAGCCAGATTGAATCTGCAACCAACTAAAATAACCCCCATTTCTAAAATGTAACTTGTCGCCACGGAACCTAGAAGCTCGCCCTACCTTGGGTGGTTTCACAGCCAAAGCTGTCAAGGAATGGGTGAAAAGTAATTGTTTTCAAGTGTGTCCTTTTACAATCATTTGTTTGCACTGGCTCTTTCAGGGACAAAGGCTATTGTTGAACACATCCAACTAAACAAATAACTCATCCTGGGGTTCCTTTAACAGCTGCCTTAGGACAATGATCTATTTACATATTAGCCTAAAATTGAAACTGAACTCTTTAATGACATAATCCAGCACTATAGTCCTGAGGCGCATGTGTTCTGGCCAACAGCTGAGCAAGCTTGCAGGCATATGATTTTTAGAAATATCTTTTTGTATATCAAGTGATCTGACAGAGACATCTTAATATACTGTCATGTATTTCCATCTCCTGTGCACTCATTGAATTCAATTTGGCTGCCTTTTACCCCTCTTTGTTTAGTTGATAAATAAAGAGAAATACAGAAGGTCTCTGTCACCATTTTCTTATTTGTTGATAAGCTATCATCATAGGCCACGCTTTACTGTGTATTCCAGTATTTATCTTACCTTTCTTTGATAGGTTTTACTTTCATGTGGCTCAAGATTAAAGGATCACCTTCCAGATGTTATAAATTAGTCAGCAACAGCCACAATCATTACTAAGCATGCTGTGATAATGTTTAGAAGTTTTACATGATTCCCAAAGTACATTTAGTTTTAACCACTGTAATTTGATGGTTTCGTATATGGCTTTTAAAAATTGAAACAGGAAATTAGCTGAAATTTCTTTTTTAAGATTGATGGCATTGTAAGACATAAAGCGAAGAGCCATCGACACACACACACACAACCGAAGAAGGAGGAGGAAAATACCTTACACGTCCATCCTCATCCGTCTGAAACAGTGTTGCCGCTTTGGCAGAGCCAGTTTAATTGACTGCAGTAAAGACTATTGGTTCATTGAAACCGAAGCCAGAATGATGGCTCTATCTATCTTCAGATAGGTATTTACACTGCAGACCTCACACAGAGCAAACTGTTACCATCCTGCTGGGCCTGAACAGCATGCATCTTTAAAAAGAATAATATTATACTTGATTTCAGATAATTTATTGATTCCTATTCCTGAAGCTTTTGATGAGATTTTGTGGCCAGGACGCATTCCAAAAATGGTCAAAGGGAGAAAAATTCTTTAGGCAAGGAAAGTCAAAGGCTTTCTGGAGAGCCACTGGAAAGGTGTATGGGGACCCTTTGGTTTCTGCTCTAAAATAATAGGAGTACGCATATTCCCCATTAAAGCAAAGGTAATTACATTCCAGTTTTCCAGCCAGCAAGAGGGGTGGCTTCAGCATCCTGCAGTTAGTTTGTTCTCAGAGGACTTTTAGATGATAAACAAACAGAACAAAGTTGAGCACTATTAGTATTGAAAACCTCTGGTGAGGATTGCCAGAATATGGACAAAAAGACATTTAAAATGCTCTTGGAATGCAAATTCTGAGTGTCTTGGAGATATGTTTCCTTTGAGAAAACTTAACCCTTTTACACCATTGTCATTTAAATAAACTGATAAAAATCACAATGCCAGTATGTTTGTGATTGAGAACTTCTGAAAATTACTGTTAATGGGAACACAGCCTCCATCTTTCAAACTAGAGTAACCGGAACTGGTCTTTTAAATAGTTGTGAGTATTTATATTAAATGGCTCTATATTTAAGTTGCTTTTGCTCTTTCGGATCCAAGTTTTGTGATCATGTAGATTAACCTTATCTTAAAAATATAATTTATTTAAATTTCCACTTCTGAATGAAATATCTGCTTTAAAATGTGATCTAGAATTTAAAATGGTTAATTTCAGTTCATAGATCTAAAGTAATAATTATAGCTAAATAGAGTTGTATGAATTGGGAAACATAAAGAATTCCATCTTTGCTATGAAAAATCAATACGTTTATGTCAGAAACATGCTGATACTTATTAAAGTCTTTATATTTTTTTAAAAGCTCCTGAAGTAAAACTTTTTAAGTTAGGACTAAATACCAAAACCGATTTTATCTAGAATCTGCTAGCCTCAATGAATCAACAGCTCCCAAATTGGTCATAATGAAATAAAAGGTATAACATTATAAAACTATTGATAAAAGTATGGCTCGTTTCATTAAAATTCACTAAATACCACACAAGAGCACTTTCATTAAACTAGTGTTTATTCATGCATGTAACATACCTGAGGAGCTGGTTAGAAAGTTTTTCCTGGCTAAGGTATAATGCATAATAAAAATGGGTCTTAACCCTGTTTGATTCAGCTTTGGATATTATTTTTATAAAACATGAAAGGCAGATATTTCCTAACTTCAGAAAGCTTTCCCTATGCATACTGTAGATTATACCTTATTAGGAATCTTAAGGGGGGGGGGGTTGATTTTTACCTCAGCTTTGCCTTAAAGAAAATTCCTGCCTTACATGCTATTTGATAAAGGGATTTGCACTTTTGAAATTAAGTATCAGTCACTATACACTTCAAGGCTGTTAAGTGATAAAGGGTTAAAGGGTTTCAGTGTGATTGTCTTTTCAATTTTTTTCTCCCACCAGAGAGACAGCTAAAAGGGACTTTAATTTTCAGGGGTAAAAGGAAGCTTTATGCATCGTTACCCTTTGATATTCCACCTCAGCTCATGAAACTAACTGTATGTGCTTATAAAGACATAATTCTGTATTGTGATATATCTGCTTTTTCCAGTTAACTGTATATCTCACTTGCTTTCTTATTAAAGAACTAAATATAGCTATATAACTTTTTTTAAGCCTATTTTTGATATATGACTTTCAGATATTTTCTGTTACCAACAACACCGAATGTGGGAAGTTACTGGAAGAAATCAAGTGTGCTCACTGTTCGCCACATTCTCAGAGCCTGTTCTACTCATCTGAGAGAGAAGTCTTGGAAAGAGACCTCGTGCTGCCCCTGCTTTGCAAGGACTATTGCAAAGAATTGTTTTACACTTGCCGCAGTCACATCCCAGGTAAAAATAAATAAGTGAATAAAATTCAGTATATATTAAAGAGATGACTGCAGAATATCTTTGGAAGATAGCACTGTGTTTAATTATTTGTTTATCAGAATGTCAAATGTACCTCACCTCTTAAAATAATGCCTATTTTACCTCATGGTGATGTTTACCAGATTCTTAACCTTTTAGTGGTGGCTAAAAAGGAATATCGCAATTTCATTCTACAAATAGTGTATGGATCTTTTTGGAATTCAGATTTACTTTTGTTTTGTTGTTACATTGATGGTACAGTTGGTAATCTTTACACACAATGGCTTTCAGTGCAGATCTTCCTGTTGTCACCTTCTTTGCCCAACAGTATCAATATCAAGATAACTCCTTCTTCTATAAAAGTTGATACAATAGTTTCTTAAATAAAATATGAGGAATCCAAATTGGTGACATATCTTATAAAGCACTTCCATGTATAATCATGTACTTGCTGCTCAAAAAACAAACAAACAAAAAACAAACCCCACTGAGGTACGTAGGAAAAATGGAGCCAAGTCCATTTGACAGATGAGAAAACCCAAGGCTGAAGAGTAGTGAAATATTTTAACCTGAGTAGTGAAATATTTTAACCTGAGTTAAAATATTTCTCCTAATATATCAGGAGAAGATGCTAAAATAGATGTAGATCTTTCTAGGCTTAGCGTGTAACTAATTTACCTAGTCACAACCATATATTGGACCTTAATAAACAGATAAATATTTAGGCACTGAATGATTTTATTTATTTTTTTTAAGTTTGAAAATGTTTTGCAATTGTTTTCATTGGAGGAATCAACATAGACGAATTTAACGAGACTGATTCTGTTTAGTGAGGCAGTCGTGCACACACACTAATCTGAAGTTAGCAGTTATAAATCTAAATGGCATGTAAGGAAAAGACCGGCTTCAAGAACGGTAGGATACACTTAAGAGAATTTTTCATTCTGCTATGTACATATCACATTTTTCTCTGAACCAGAAACGTATAGACTTTTCATTTTTAGAGCGATCTCTTAATGTCCTAACAAAACATTTTGACTGGGGCTCCTCACCTCCCTGGTGGTGCAGCATGCATCTAAACCCATCGACGTGAAAATATTATCATTGCCTTTATAAACTCAAGCCATGTTTCTAAGGCTTTTCTTAAACCAGTTGTTTCTTCCCCTTTATCATGTTCCTCCAGCAAAGCAGAATAGGTCACGGTGGCCTAGAGGGGCCCCTGGAGGAGTGATAACAGATTAGATACCATCAAGGTTTGCTGCAAACTTCAAGTCTCAAAGGTTTGCCTTTACCCCTGGAAGTGGAGAGTGTTATCAGCACTTGGTATTTTCATTTACATTTATCTATTTTAGATCAATACAACTGTGCTGGCTTTGGGGGGCCCAGTTGTGGAGCCCTTTAAGTTTCCAAACCAAAATAAAACAATAGTGCCTGAAAGGGAGTTCAGCAAACAGCTCAGGAGGCAAGATTATAGGCAACTCAACCTCGTGTCCCCCCCCCTTCCCCTGGCTCCCCCAGATCAACATATGTGGTGACGAATGATAAATTTATTTTTCTACAAAGTTTGTATATGTGTAAAACTGCTGAAGTGCATCAAGATGTCAAGTGCTTTGGGTGGCCACCCAGGCTCCTTGAAAGATAACCAGATGAAAGCTCCACTCTAGTGCTGGATGGAGCAGCTAGGGAGCTTCCCTGAAAAGGACCACTGGCTTAAGCCACAAGCCGAGGGTCTTCCCTGTATCCATCAGATGCTAATAATCACTCAGAAGACTTGTCCCCAAAGCACACTGGAATAACACATTCTGCTATTACTTAGGCTAATTGACTGGTTAGCCAGAGTGATCCTTGGCATGTAGGTGACCATTTCCCAGAGTATGTTGAATAATGTAATCTTCCACTCAGCCTTTGCCCCAATGCAGAAGGCTATTTAGAATTCTAGCCCAGGTACTTTTTAAGAATACTGTAAAAGGAAATTTATAACATGTCTATCACTGTAAGTCTTTTTAATGGTCATGCTTTATTTGTCTCTGAAGTTCCAAAGTGTGTAAAATAGCTACTGTTGCTTCTTTTTTTAAAAAATCAAGAACTAGTCAACATTTTTTTACTACCTTCATTAATATTGACTTTTCTTTCTGTGAGTCAAAAACTTAAACAGGAAGGTAGTCTAAGGGATGCCTTTTGCTAAGAGAAGGCAAAATGTTGGCAAGAGTTGGAAGAGAGCAAAGACTCAGTAATATCACTTTTCTCACAGTTTTCAATATGTGGATACATGAAACTATGTTGAGGAGCTGTCCCTTTGCTTTGCCTACACAGAGCTGCAGAATAGTCACATACCAGAAAGAGAGCTACTCTGGACATTTTAATTCACAAATAACTATGATCTACTTATTTTCCCCCCAAAAAATAAGAAAAAAATGAAATAGCAATATAGTGAAGGTGGACTAGAAATTCATTAAGTCTTAATATTCTCTAGTTGTGAACTTAATTGGTGAAGTCTGAACACTTATAAAAATACCAAAATCACATTAAAACAATCGAGCCAAGCTGCTCAGATGTTCCCTGCTCAATAGCATGGGATTTCTTTCCACTTGCATTACGATGAACAGGGTAGATAGTCTCCGATTCAATACGTGACGGAAATACCACAACGCAGGTGTACAGTGGATGCCTGTTGACCTTGTTCCTTCTTTTATAATATGATCATAATTTTATCAAAAAAGGCAGTTATCACCTATGCTATAGATGATTTTACTGTGAAATATTTGCACATAGTTCAGTTGGCTTCATCTTGTTGCTCATGAGGCTCATCAAGGGTTTGATCCTACTGAGTTTTATTCTACAGTCATTCCCAAACCAGTCCCATAGTCTGCATGTGTGTTACTAGTCCTAAGGCGAGCAGATCAAAAGGAAAAATGGACACATAAAAATCCAGTAGCTCCACTAGAAAGTTCTGACAAAGCACACTGACACTGGGTCACAAAGACCCTCTGCTCCCTCTATTTTTTGTTATGAGCAGCTCGTATACTAAGGAAAAGGGACTTTGTTTTAGAATATATGCTGAGACAAATGCTGCGGCCCAGAGCAAACCAATTGGGAACACTTACTTTACAAGTTGCTGGTTTACACAGTCCTTTGTGGTGTGGAGGCCCTGGGTCTGAGGGAATGAATAATTACTGGTCAAAGGTATTTGATAAATGGTTAGAAGTCCCTTGGTGGTACAATGGGCTAATTGCTGCTAAGTAGAAGGTTGCAGGTTCAAGTCCACTCAGAGGTGCCTCAGAAGAAAAGCTTGATGGTCTTCATCCAGAAACTCAGCCACAAAATCCCAATGGAGCCCAGTTATCATCTGACATGCACGAGGTCGCCATGAGTTGGGATGAACTACACAACTGGTGTGTGTGTGCGCACATGCACGTGTGTTTTCTGTATGTGTATGTTTAAGCTTGTAGGTACCATTTAGTAAACTACATCTTCCCTAGCAAAAAGAAATTATTCCAGTGCCCTGAAACCAGACTCTTGTTCCATTGCAAGGAAGCTATTTACTAAAAAAAAAAAAATTACCTACTTACTCATTTTTCACTGCAAAATCATTTAAGGTAAGTTTTAATACAGGCATTAGATTTCAAATATTATGCTTTAAAGAAAAAAACTCATTTGTATATAAGATTCTCCTGAGCTGGCTCCCTCTGTTTCGCACTTAAAATTATTCAACTCCTCTAGGTTCTATAAGAAGCCAAAAAAATGGCAGATCAAACTCATCTGCCTCTGAGTCGATGCAAACTCAGAATGACCCTATAGGAGAGAAGAACTGCTCCTTTGGATTCCCGAGACTAACTCTTTATAGGAGCAGAGAGCCTCATCTTTCTTCTCAGGAGTTACTGGTGGTTTTGAACCACTGACCTTGAATTTAATAGCTCAATGCATAGCCCACTACACCAAGACTCCATAGATTTTCTGTAAGATGCTAGGAGAAATTCGTTAAAAGTCTGTAGTTTTATTTGCTAAGAACACATAGTACTCTGGAGCCACAAGGTTTATGAATATGCCCTCATTAATCTTCAGATGTTCCATTTGAGAATGAGTCTTCATTTCCTCATGTTTGTCCCCAGCTCATAATTCCTTATAAAATGAAACCAGCCACCAGCATTGTTCATTAATTTCCCCTTAATATGGTTTTGGTTTCAGACTGTAGTACTGCAGTACAAGATTTTTTTTTAAGCAAACTCAATTTCTCTTGAATTTTATTTTGAAATATTTCTGTGACCCTGCGGGCAAACATCACATTAAAATGAAATTTTATATCAATTTTATCTAGCCTTGAAAACCCACACACAGTGGCAAATAAGTTATTTTCATGCATGATATTTGCATGGAGATCTTGCTGCTTGATTGCAAATACTTAAATGATGACGTGTGTGTGTGTGTGTGTGTGTGTGTGTGTGTGTGATTTTATGTGTCTTTACTTCCCACTCCCCCACCCCCGAAAAAAAAATAAACAAAAATATTTAACGTTTGTTAGAAGTGGTTGCCAACTAACCCAAAGGTCAGCTATTTGAATTCACCACTGATCACTGAGAGAAAGATGTGGCAATTGTTTCCATAAAGATTTATAGCTTTGAAACCCCATCATCTGGGCAGTTCTATCCTGCCTATAGGGTCTCTAAGATCAAAATCAACTCAATGGCAGAGGATTTGGTATTTGACAGGGCGGCCTTTAGGAAAGGAAGTAGATTGCAAAGCCTTTCTTTGGGTGTGCATTTGTCTCTACTTGAACTATCAATTTTGAGGTTAGATCCAAATGTGTAACCATTCATGCCATTTAGGATATATAAATTTAGTGGATGGATGGAAGGATGGATGGATGGATGGATGCCCCATGACCATCTAGTCATTTTTATCCATAGGGTCTCTACAAGGCAGGGTAGATTTCCATCTGTGGTTTCCAAAGCTGTAAGTATGAAAGCAGAAACCTCATCTTTATCCTGAGTAGCAGCCAGTGGGTTTGAACTACCAAGTTTGTGATTAGCACTCCAAAGCTGCCTAACCCACTACACCACCAGGATTGTGTGTGTGTATGTGTGTGTGTAAAACTCCATGCCAATATTATACATGTATAGATCAAAAGAAGATCTAACCTCAAACTACAAAAAGTTGGATTTAACCGCTCAGTTTTTCCTTTTACCACTAAGACTTAGCTAACTCTATTAAGCAGTTTCATTTATGTAATTATGAAAGAATAGAGGAGGAAAAGTCTGTGGCAAACAGTGAATTGCTAAGGATGAGTAAATGCTTTGGCCTTCATTCCTCTCTCCAATTTCTAACCCTACATTTTTTTCACAGAGAAAGATGACCTCCTTCCAGCTGCCTTGCCCCTCCCATAGAGCCCTGCCCAAATGCCAGGCCTCTTTTCCATCTCTCCCTTTAGCCCCCCATTTACAGGGAGTGTGTGTGTGTGTATATATATATATATATACATATATATATATGGCTTCGGTCATTTAAGACTCTTAGATCCTAAGCTTTGTCTGAAGGGGCCCAGGTCCAGCTTATTGAAAAGAAACATTCTAGTGTCTTTCATGGTCATTGATAAGTCTTGTTTATCCCACATTCCTGCTCTTACAAATTTTTACTAAATCTGAATCTATTTTATGACTTCTATACTTCAAATCTATTAACAAGTGATTTTTCTCCCCAAACTAGTAGGGATACAATAACTTGTTAGATTAAAAAAAAACCAAAACCTTGAATGTAATTAAGATTTGAGACCAGAAGCAGGCCTTTTGGACAGGCATAGAAGACTTACTCTAGTAACATCCTATTTAAGAGCAGAAATCATCAAAATATATGTGAATCTTTTTGCTACACTCTCCATCCAAAAAAAGTGAATACTTCGTGAACTCAAATTACAAAAGTAATCCAAATATGTACTTTTGTAATAGAGTCCTTTTTGGTATTCAAAGGTAGTTACTTTTGTTTGATAAAGTTCCTATCAGAAGGGGAAGAAAAGCTTTCAAACTCATCGAGTCTTGTATTTTTGCTGTGGGTCTTTTTTATTGACGCATTGGTTTTTTTCTGTTTGTAAGTTGATGTTATATGAGCTTCTCTTAAAAATGTGTGTTTGACCATGAAAAGTCAACAAAACTCCAGGTGTTTTGAAAAGTTTTTGATATTAACACGTATCTTGGAACTCTGTAGTCTATTGCTTCACCTTTCATACCTACAGTATGTTAGCTACTAGAGACCAAAACTTCAGCACAGCATCAGACTCCTTATTTGCCTGTGTCTTGATTCTTCCTTCCTCTGTATTTTAAATATCAAGTGAGGACAGTAATGGTGAGCTGCTTGACAGGAATGAAGGGTTTTGTTTGTTGTTTGAAAAATACAATCATTGCATATGCAAAATACCCATAATCTGTGATTATACCAATTCATTGCTTAAGTCACTAATGGTATTTAGTAGGTTTACTAATCAATCGTATGTGAGTGGGAGTATAAAAAATATTACAAAATGGCCCAAACTGCCATCAGATGGCCTATCTCAGTACTCATTTTCCTCCTCTTTAAACTATTGAGTCTGGGTTTTCGCCTTTTTTGGGGTTTTTTAGCAATAGGAAGAAAAATGCTAACTAGTAGTTGGATAAGCTTACAGATACAACATATGGTAAGTAGAGGAAGCTTAAGAATAGAGACAGTTCAGTAATACGATTGTTGCTGTTTTGTGTTAATGTCTATTTTTTCCTATGGACCTTTAAATTAAAAAGTATCCAACATCATATTATTGCCACATTCGCTATAACTCTTCAATGTTGGTTAAAGGAAAAATGGAAATTCCAAACCAAAATCCAAACAAGTTTTCTCTTCTTTTTCATTTTAGTCTCTATTTGTTCTTAAATATCTATATGGTTTTTGGAAATTCTTTTTTCTCCTCTTGGGTGTTGAAAAAGCTTTGGATGTTGATAGAAATGATGGTTGCATTATAGATGGAATTAATGCGACAGAAATAAATTATTGAAAAGGCAAATTACATGTTATATACAGTCTGCTGTGATAATTTTTAAAATTCTCTTTTCTCATATATTTCTCAAATCAAATGGTTGAAGTGCTTCTGATGTTTTCCGTTTTTCTTTTTACATTTTTTAAAGGTCTCCTTCAAACTACTGCTGATGAATTTTGCTATTACTATGCAAGAAAAGATGGTGGGTTGTGCTTTCCAGATTTTCCAAGAAAACAAGTCAGAGGACCAGCAACTAATTACTTGGACCAGATGGAAGATTATGACAAAGTGGAAGAGATCAGCAGGTTCATACAGATAAATGCACTTTAATCTTTAAAAATAAAACAACTTACAAATCTTGTGGTTTTGACAGTGAATCAACTGTCTGTACGTTCACTCAGTAGCTAAATCTTCCAGATGGTCCCCCAACCCCTTGATTTGATAGTTTACTTCTCCAAAGTCTTATTAGCTTAAATGTTTTTAGTATTTTTTTTATATTTAGACTACTAATCATATATTATGAGCTTGGCTTCTCTATGATTCATATGAACTTTATGAGTATAGTTTTAAACTTGAATTTTATAGTTGGTATTAGCTGGCAGTACTGAGGAAATATTCAGAACAATTATTATTAGTCAATCAGATTTTATAAATAGATCTTAGAACTTTCTCTCTGAGAGCCTTTCTGTAAGGTTTAATTATCTTGAGTAAAGCTAATTATAATTATAGCCACTGAAAGATGAGCTAATATGTTTATGAAATTTTAAAACGCATCCATGTTTCTTCCGCTTTGTGATGGAAGGCTGTTTTGTTTTTCCATTTAAAAGACTCAGAAGGTGACCTTGGGGTTCGCAGAGTGGCGGATTTCCCAAACCTATTGATTCCTATAGGAAATATCCTTGGAAAAGGATGCTAAATGCATCCCTTCCTACTGTCCTCTTGAAACAAAGCTCACTGGTGTTCTTTTATTTGTTTAGAAAGCACAAGCACAACTGCTTCTGCCTTCAGGAGGTTGTGAATGGCCTGCGGCAGCCGATGGGTGCCGTGCACAGTGGAGATGGCTCTCACCGGCTCTTCATTCTGGAGAAAGAAGGCTATGTGAAGATACTGACCCCCGAAGGAGAGCTTGTCAAGGAGCCCTATCTGAACATTCACAAACTTGTTCAAAGTGGAATAAAGGTTGGCTTTTTAAGTTTTTTCTATCTTTGCGCAGGCTATGATAGCTTTACTTCAGTGTTATCTTTTTCATTGAAGGCATTTCTTTGTATTAAGAGAAAGAATATTTAAGGAGACAATAAGGAAACCACCACCCCACAAAAAAAGGAACACAGTTGTAGCTACTGAGTCAGACAGTGACCTCTGCCATTGGTGACTACTGAGCGGAACAATGACATTGATATTTTGACTTGATTTCCAGATGTAAGCTACACATTCGCATAACTCTGGCTCTACAAAGTATTACTTTAAAGTCTTGTTCAGCAGACATAATACTAAGGATGACATATCAGCATTTGCTAGTTGAAAAAAAGGTCTTTTAGTTATTTTGGCAATGGCAAATCATCCTTTTACCGCATCTGTTATTTTAGTCTGTGTTTCACACACACACAAATAATACTTGTACTGTGCCTTCCTTGTTCGATGAGTCAACAGGTAAGTCAAATATGTGTATCTATAATTAGCTATCCTATACATTATATCAGGGCCCATGGTGGCACCATGGGTTAAGCAGTAGGCTGCAAACTAAAAAGCTGGCAGTTCAAACTCTCCAGCCACTCTGGGGGAGAAAATAGAGGCAAGCTATCTGCTCCCATAAAGCTTTACAACCTTCGAAACCCCACAGAGCCGTTTTACTCTAAGTCAGAATCAACTCAAAAGAGTATCAAGCTATCGAATATGTTAGCGCATTGATTGCCTTCCTTCTCAATTTGAGGTTTTATGGTAAACTATGTACTAAGTGTGGAATACAAATCATTGTCAAATCTGTTTTACAAGACAAGCAACATGATACAACACCGGTAGCAAGCGTCCAAGCAAATTGTGACATTCTAAACTTCGAGGACACATTCAACAGTCCTTGACCATTTAGACTGAGACAAAGTAATGGTTTGATTTGAGTAGAATTGGTTGTTCTTTCAGTTCTTAGCTGGAAAAGGAGTCAAAGGAGGTTGTATGCTCTGTGTATAGAAAGTTTCCTGGCTGGCACAGTTTCCTTTTCACCACTAACCAAGAAGATTTGCAGTGTGAATCCCCTCAAGATACAGAGGAAGAAAGGCTTGGTAATCTGCTTCCTAAAGATGACAACCAAGAGAAAACCCCACTTAGCAGTTCTACTGTTTAACCCATGGGGCTGCCGTGAGTGACACTGGACTCAATAGAAACATGTTTTCATTCATCTTGAAATGAACTTTTCTATGCTCTGTTGAATTTTCTTCAGAGAAAAGGGCACTAGACCCAGCTAGCACCTGCTAGGTAAAAACAATGCGTCTTTGAAATACAGGTAAGGCCACACTATGGGCCCTGGTGATGGTTCACATTCAGCTACTAATTGAAAGGTTGGTGATTCAGTTCCACCTAATGGTATTAGGGAAGAAAGGCTTGGAGATCTACTTACGTAAGATTATAGCCACTGAAAGCCCTCCAGAGTGCTGACACACATGGCTCTGCCATGAGTCAGAAGGCAATTTGATGGCTACAGGAAAGGGCAAGCGAGACTGTCATTCTGTTGGAATCAATTATCTTCAAGTCCATGTTTGTAAGTAAAATTTTAAGGGCAAGAACTATGACTTGAAGGTACCGATCTTTTGGGAAAATCTGCTTAATTGAGTAGTTCTAACTTTCTAGTAGTATCTTTTTCTTAAAGTAAAAGTAGAAAATGTTCTCATTTAAAAAAAATAAAAGTTTGAGGAAAATATTGAGATAATGGCAATCCATAATCCCGATAATCCTACCAATTAAAGAAAAACACTACTAACATTTTTGTATATTATCTTCTCATTTATGTATAAAATTAAACTTTCCATATGGCAAGGGAAATACAGCCCAATATTAAGAGTACATGTCTAGACATGCAGAAAAGAAGAGAATGGTTTCATTTCACTTTTTTCTAAGGTAACAAAATGTAAATCAAGTCATATAAGCTTCTTTATAGGCTCGTCTTTTTCACTTGACCATGTCCCACATTTTCCCATGTTTGGAAACTTCTTCAAAAGTGTGGTTTTCTTCTCATTGAGATATTTCTTATTTTGAGACAGTTATAATGACCCTAGTATTTTCCTTATACCATTGTAAATAATGTTATTTACCATTCTTGTTTAGCTTCATTATGATGAATGGAAGGATATGGACCACTATATTGGCAGTTTGCTTTAAAAAATATAGGAATGTATTTTCAGATATTTGAGAAAATAATAATTTTTGAATATTAGCTGCATAAATATGTACAAAGAAGAGTTGTATGATAAAATGTCAAAGTAAGAAATAGGATCAGAATAGAATACTTGAAAATATTCCTGTGAGAAGTCCCAAAGTAATGGCTCTTCTTCCGGTTTCAGTTCAACTTTTCAGAGGATGATTTGCCTTTAAACTAGGGTCAGTTAAGGATCCTGCTCTTTCCGTTTATACCTGTTTGCTGGGCCAGGGAACAGCAGGGTATCTTTTCTGACTGGGGACATCTCAGCATGTAGTGGAACCCTACACATAAGCCTAGAACCCCGCTGAGGTGGTCAGAGTATACTCTGCAGAATCCCCTGTAGACTTCCTTTCCCAAAAGAGTTACACTTCCACTTCGATATGTTTTATAAACTGGTCTCCCATGGAAGAGTGATATTTTTAATCAAAACTTCTGGGCCCTTAAAATAAAGTCTAAACCCCACTATTCTACTGCACTGTCATATTTTGCCATGCAATAGTTTGAAATCCCTTACTGTTTGCTACTCATGATTTCAATATGCTAAGAACCTATCCCATGGATATTTGAGTGTGTCCAGCGGGAAAGGTGGGAGACAGACGTGGCTCTCTACTCCTGTATAGAAAACCCACAGGGGAAGTTCTACTCTTATCACAGAATTAATAAAAACTAAACCCAACCTTCATACTTCTAAATTGCAAATGAGACAAGCTACAGTGGAGATCACCTCCCCTACCCCCATGACATTAATTAGTGACATTGATGGATATATTTAAGCAGCCTGGGTGACACAGTAGGTTAGAGAACCCACTTCATGGGAGAAAAATGAGGCTTTCTGCTCCCATAAAGATTTAGTCTTAGAAACTTTATAGAAGATAGCTATGAGTCAAAATTGACTGAAAGGCAATTAGCTTGTTGTTGTTGTTGTTGTTGTTATGAATATAGTACAGTTCTAGTTAAAGGCTCAGCTACCAGTCAAAAGATTGGCAGTTCGAACCCTTTGAGGGGCACTTTGTTAAGAAAGGCCTAGTTCTCTGCACACCTGGGGTTGTCATGAATCAGAATCTCACTGCCCTTGAGACTGAGTTTGTTTGTTTTTAGCTTGAGCTTTTAGAAACTCTTACATTCAGGCATTTTGCTTCCCGTCAGATTTAACATACTCTTGAGTAGATTCTGAGCTACTGAACTGTTCCACAGAGGCAGGATCTGCTCAGAGTGCGTGGGACAGGCTCGAGCTGCCCTCAGGAGTTTCTGAGACCATAACCCTTTGCAGAAGTAGAAACCTGACCTCTCAGGGAGCACCTGGTGGTTTGAAACTGCTGATCTTATGAATTAGCAACCTAATGCATACCCAACTACACCAGAAGGAAACTTTAAAATCTTTAGAGTGTGTCTATGTGACTCTGTATCTACTGTTGTTGTTTAATCCCCAACAGGGAAATTACAAACTTTGTATTCTCTATATCCAGGTAAAAACACTTCTTGACCATCCTGGTCATTTGAGTTTGTTTAAACTGAGCTTGCTTCTGAATCAGAACTTCTGTGAAGCATTACAAAAATATCAAACAAAAGCAAAATAAACCTGTTAATGCAGAGTTGATTTGACTATTGGTGGCATGCTGTGTTACATAGTAGAATTACACTGTGATTTTTCTCAGTTATCATTTTCAGAGAAGCCCATCACCAGGCCCTCCTTCAACAGTGCTGCTGGGTGGCGTTAGACTGTCACCTTTTGATCGCGCAGCTCATGAAAACCACTTGTACCCCCAGGAACCTCGGCACACGTTGGAACTAATCCTTGGAAAGGTAGACAAGTGGTTCTCAGGAATGGGGTTACGTCATAACTAAGTGGGAGCATTCAAGGCTCCTGAGTCCAAATTAAGTTAGAATCTAAGCAGTTGGGATCGATATACATAGTCTTTTAAGCTTTCAATATTCAGCCCATTTGAGATAAATTATCTGAGACTGATTGAGCCCTGCTGGCATGGTGGTTAGAGTACTCACCTGATAACCAAAGTCAGCATTTGGAACCCATCAGCCACTCGTGGGGGAAAGATGTGGCTATCAGTCTTGGAAACCTTGTGGTGCCGTTCCGGTCTGCCCTATGACTTCACTGTGAGGCCAAGCCGATGTGATGGCAGGGGGTTTGGTTTGGGATTTGGATCCAAACTGAGCCAAATGCTGGGTCTGTTACTGATTGAAGGAGACCCATGTTCAGTCACCATTCTACTCCAACAAGTCCGTTTATTGAAGCATGTGGGTTCAGGGGAAGACTCTCAATGCAAAGCTTTGAAAATAGTTACTTTAAAATCTCAACAATCAATTCTAATTAGGTCATTGCTCGACCCATCAAATTGAAAGTTTCATGGTTCATTTTTGGAAACTGGTGTTCGGCCAGTTGGCAAAAATCATCTGTGCCCCTCAAATCCAGAGTTCACTGTTTTATCTGTAAAGGACCGTAAACAACGACAAGGACACCAGGAGGTCGTCTGGTGGCATTGCACCAAACCTGCCCATCTTCCTAAAATCAGAAAGTTTGCCTGAGCTTTGTGTGTGTGCACAAGTTGGGCGGCGCCCCTGTCACCTACAGGGTGGGCTGGACAAGGGGAAAATAAGTAAGCCCTGCTCTGTGCCGCTCCATCCCCACCAGCAACCCGAAGACAGAGAGGCTGCATCCAGTGGATGAAGCTGTCACTGGAGCAGGTGCCACTGGACTTCCTCTATCTGGTTGAATCTCATTTCAAAAGATACTTTTTGAAGCTGTCCTTTTACC